GACGTTGTTTGGATGAGAATCAGGAACATCGTAGGGAATAAATTCGAGTATGCGACCAACTGAGTCTAAATAGATTTTTTGTTGGGGGCTACATTGCAATCAATATCGAGTGCCTCTTCTCTATAGAGCTAGTTGTCTAAGGACCATGAGATCTGTCTGTTTCGTCATTCACAAACATCTTCTTTCTAAGTCAGCTATCGGTCGCCGCTATGTTGATGAACTGCGTCGAGCAGAAACGCGTACGACTGACGCTTATTGTAACCCTGAATAAAGTGATTTAATTCGAAAAACAAAACGCTTAACGAAATAGCGGTAATTAAAAAAACTAAAAAGGGTCATATTTACGCTATCTATATTTATATGTGTGTGTGGGTGTGTGTGTGTGCATATTACCATGATAGCAAGCAGATTCTAAGTAATTCCAGCGACCTCAAATGCACCTAAACGTATGTATCTATAAATGAACAAGATGCAAGCTAAGACCGATTTTTCTGTTTCTAAAAATTTCAAATACATTTTTTCGCTATATTTTTAAATTTTAGGCTAATACGGAGATTTTCAACGTATCGCTCCACCATTCATCAACAGTTTAGGATACTGCAGACAGGAACACATAAAGGAAAAAAGGATCTGTGTTCCTGGAGACTTGATTGTGCATAAAATACATCTTAATAAAAATGTAGAAAACCCCGGATATAACTCTAAAAAAACTAATGAAACGAAGAATGGATCAAATTCAGTAGAATGATTCACTACCCTCCAAGGATTATGTTTTTGTTGAAATCGATGGCTGTCGGCGAGTATTATCGTGATGGCGGTCATTTAATTTAGACGGACTGATTTGTTTTGGCCATGAAGCCACAAACACGCCACATTAGGTCTACTATAACAGAGCGAATTATAGGAGCTGTCTTGAAAAACGTTAAGGAAGAGCCAACGTATGTCAACTCGGCGCCGTACGCAGCAATTGTTGCACTCTGCGAGAAAGTTATGACGAACCTCGTTTTTAGAGACGTTTGCTGTCAGCCAGACATAATGCACCTCACCTACTATATACCTTCACCATAGTCATAAGCAGTTAAATGTCATCATCACGTAATTACAGGCCTGGCTGCCAGCAGTCCTAAGATGCCATTTTGCCGAAATGATGTTTCACGAGCAACTGGCTAGACTGGTGGTGGGACCAAAGGCGCTTAGTCTGCCTTTTCTCTGAGTGCAAACAATATCATAGGGAGCCATGCGTCGCCCTGTACTATATATACTATATTTTTTGAACCAGAAGCTAAACAGTAATAAAGTGCAAAAATTTACCTAAACTATAATTTAGGTGCGAATTTAACTAAAGGCATATCGTATGATTGAACATCTCAAAAGCTATAGCACTAAATTTTAATGAAAACACGTGAAACTTTTGTAAAGTATTTATTAAACTTTTAATGATTGTACTATTCTAGCTTAGAATATAGTCGCTTAAATTTTTGTTTGTCGCACCAGTCAGCCATGGTTGAGGCGGCAAAAAGTGACCTAAAAATTGGCCGTTTTCTCATCCTTAGTTCTGTTTGGGTTCCATTGTCATGTAGGTCGCGACGTAACGCCCTTAATTTAACTTAAGAGCTATACTAGCTCTGTTAATTCAATCAATTTATTCCCTATTTGCTGCCTCCTTTCAAGACGGGCTAGCGCGGGTGCTCTATGGGTTCAAGTGCAGTTCTGCTGTTTGAAGTCTTTCGACCAAGCGATTCTTGGGTTTTCTCTGGCTTTCTCGTATTGTATAATCCTTTTCCTTTCCAGATCGTCATTTCAGCGTATTTCATGCGGCGCGTTATTCTAACGAGAGACAATATGAGCGCCAATTAGAGCGCACGTTTCGCTCACACCTCGTTTCAACACGTGTCTCCCTAACCTTCCAACACTCGTCATATAGTTTCCCCCATATATGTATATATATATATATATATACTCTCTAGTTTATCGTTTAAATATGTCTACTTATATTTTCTGTCGAGAGACATTATCGGAATCGTCATAGTAGTGTGGTTTTTATTTTTACCACTATTATTATTAGTATTATCTATTGGTCTTTGCTTTTTTGAGTCTTTTACTACTTCCATCGTGTTTCAGTCGTAGTATCGTCTGCAAAGTTTGGGTTTCCTTCTATTGACGCATTCTCTAAGTGAATCTTTTTCGCAGCTAGTCTCATTAAATTATTTGTTTCTTCAATCAGTCAACGTATCTCCTTTAACATCAATATTTCTTGGGGCATCTAGTTTATATACGCCTCTGTCGTTCCGTCTTTTTTGCTCAGTTGCTTCTTCTTTCATGCCTCCTACCTTATTATTATATTAATATATTTATAGATTTATGTATATTTATGTAACGTTAATGCTATGCACGTAATGTACCCATTTCACCAGCATTATCTTGGTAGGTTTTTAATTATCGATTAATTTTCACCTTTACCATAACTGTAATTATTTCATCTCGTTAAAGTGTCTCCTTCAAACGTATGTTGTCCTCTTCCGTTTTCCCAACTCGACGGCCTAGTGCGTTTTTCGACGTTGCCCCTCTGAGTTTACACCGAATAACGGGATGTCCACTCGTCATCGATAGCTTTTTTGTCACTTATATTCACTTGCTTGTTCAGTGTTCAATGTTCTTCGGTGTTAATATCTCACTTAATTTATTTCTCGTACTCAGTGAAACCGATAAGTACGTACAGAGTGCCTTAACCCTCGAGATCAGTCCTTGAATAGTTGGTAAAGTTCAATGCACAAAGCATTTTTCCTAACGAACGCATTGGGCCCGGTATTCATTTTACCGCCAAAGGGCAAATTTCTGAAGAAAAACCACCTGACAGATAGCCGAAAACATATGATTATGTGAAAGATGTTGCCTGGAGTGAGACGTTAAGGACATAGGCGTGTGTGAGCGTGTGTAGATGAGAATCTGCTTTAAGCTAACTCACTATAAGTAAATAGTAACACTAAGTTAAATAAGTGAAAAATTTAGATCACTGAGCGTGATTTTTTTGTCTTTCAAATTATGTTACTGAAAAATTATCCACTGCACCCATAGACTTAGCAGTAACCGCGTAAAAAGAAGACTGTTCTTTTCGTTTGTTACCCCACTGGTGGATCTGACGACATGTTGAAGAAGTCTGAGCTGGCAAGGCAACGCGTAGCATAATACGATTAAATATCCCGGCCGAGCTCGAAAAGCAAATTTTCTTTTAGTCAGATTAACTGCTAATACCGCAATAAACACTCGAAATAAGGACAAACGGGGGGATACATGTCTTTTAAACATACAGCATTATTTGTACAAATCAACATATTTCCCGTTTTTCCAATTAATGCAATATTCTCTATAAATTAACATGTTTCCCAAACTGTTATTTTTCAGGCAACCCTTTTTCTATGAAGTTCGACTTTTAGCCAGTAGCTGAATATCGACACTCAAAGGTACCATCGGAAAAGCTCTTTATTTAACGAGATCTCACCCCCCCCCCCCTCGACTTTTAAAACACCCGCTCATATAATAATTACTTATGCTCTTACCAATAGTGTTCCTTATAGATGTCGCTAGTATCAGACGACGCTTTCATCCAGTACGGTCGTCCATATTAACCTGCTGTAGGTAAGAATTTTTACAGTTGATCCCGATCATTTTTACGTCATCAGAAATGATCTTATGATCCGATCTATAGGAACGATATCTTAATGATGTTAATATAGATAGTAGTTATTATATATTAATAATCATTTATCGCATATCTGCGGTTATTCAAAGTTATTAAAATAACTTTGCTCAGAAGTGTGTTTTATGCTGCTTCATAATATTGTTTTTCCTGTATGAATGGTGTATATATATGTATATATATCTAATTAAATCATTAATTTGCTCCATTTCTGGGGCGGGGTCCTCCGTTTTCAGATGTACATTAAGTAACTACGCGGTGGGTCGTAATGCTTTCATCCGATCGAATGATTGGTTTAATGTCTGTATTTACGTCTGTATATATATATATATATACGTGCATGTGTGCATGTGATCTGTCTGTACATGGATCCGTATGCATGTGTTTTTTGGATTGCTCAGATAGTTCGAAACGAAAAAGATATAACCTTATTTCTAAAAAACGCTTCTCGTCTACAGTGGCTCTTTGCTAATAGTCTTCGTAGTTCTTCCATTGTCTAATGCGTTATTTAATAGTCTTCAGCGTATATATATATATATATATATATATATATATGTGTTTCCTCATTATGCTATATACCATTGTTTAGTTTTATTATATAATATAATAATGTTACTTCTACATATATATATATATATATATATATATATATATATATATATATATATATATGAAGAGAGAGAGCGCTTTCTAACCTGTTGGATTGATCGTGTAATTAATGTTAGTGAAATCGTTCATGTAGCTGTTGCTGCTAGTTGATGGTGTTAGTTATTTTACTTTATGCAGACCTTGCTAGGATAATCGGCTCGCAGGTTTTTTTCCTTTGTTCTGCCTCCGCTTTGCCTCGCGTATTGTTCTCGTCAGATTTTGGCCTTTTGCGTCATTTTCATTAACGCTACTAAATGATTACGATCATCGAGCATCAGTATAACCATCATCCTCATCTCTATATAATATCATTAGATGCATAACAAATATTATCATATATCAATGTATATCAATATATGACAAGTAAACGCATTTACAAAATCAGTTAGTTAACGTACAAGGGTTCCAAATGACATCAGGGGTCGCTTATGGGGACCTCCACACAGCGTCTAAACGTGTGCTGAGATATCAAAGATTGCCATCTTTTGCTTGTCTTTTATTATTATTGTAGTTGTTGTCTCACCGTCTCGAGTAATGTCGTTGTCTATAATTGTACATCTAGATTTTCCCCTTTTAGCTTCTTCCCCTATGTTTGTCCACCTGCAATAGCGTATCCATGATTAGTTATTGCCTCCCATAGTTCCATCCTGACTCAACCAAAGCTGGTCAACGTCAGCCTCGCCACGTTGATGCTTTGCGTTTGTCCTGATTGAATCTGGGATGATTTTGTAAAAAAAAACAGCGTGCACCGACGTACTCGACGACGTGAAGATCATCAATAACGGCGACTGTGTCGACTAACTACAGACTTACGTCTATGGTCAACCAGCGCCTGAGCTGATCGAAGACTTTTTTATGATTTACAAGCGTTCTCCCGCCACGTACGTCCGTCACGCTGGACGCAGCTGCCACATATAATGCAGTTTTCACCATTCGTGCGAGACGGTAACCAATGAATATCCAAAATTTAGGCAAAAAATCAACACTATCGGTACACTCGATATGTTCCCACGCAGTTAGTTTTGGGAACAACGCGTTAAGGCAGTACATTAAACGTTTGTTCACGCATATACTTAAGCAGTTAATATTTTAGCGTTGGCGAGAAGCTGTTCGCCGAACGTGCGGCGAGAAAGCACATTACAATACTTACTTTCTAGTAATAGTAACATGAACAATCTGTCTTGTTGATCAATGTGTCTATCTTTCGATCGGCATCATCGACGCAATAGAACTTTTACGAAGACAGACGCTGAGGGAAGTCCCGACATGGAAAATCTTAAAATAAGATTGGTTTGTTTCGTCTGCTTTTTTTTCTCTCTCTCCCGCTCAGATAACGTTTATCCTGTTGGTGGCCATTAGCTGCTGCTACAGCTGCTGTTGTTATTGTTATTGTCGCTGTTGTCGCCGTCGTCGTCAGTCGGAAGTTCGTCATCAAAATTATTGATCTAGCCTCGCCCTGTAAACATTGTTATAATGTTCAGTCGCAGCTTGCGCTAGAGTTCTTCTTAATAATGGTCTATCGACTGTTCTCGGTATGAGTAATAATCGTCATTATTGTTTAATTAATGATAACTCTTTACGTTTCACATAAACATTCACGTATGTATAATAGATGCGTTTCTGCATACCTATGATAATAGTAGTTGATGGTTTTAGGATGCTTATTCGCTTTACGGCGGTGTTCGTAGATTCGTTCATTTGATCACTTTTCTCTCGTGTCATATTCTAATTAGATTCATATTGAAATGAGACGCTCGGGCTTCTCACGGTCTTTTCAATTGAAACGCTTAGGGGAATACGAATACTATTCGGCATCGACTTTACTTCTGCAGCGATTCTACCATCGATGACTTTCTGGAAAATGTTCGATCCGATAATTTCGCTGCGTTGATTATTTTCTAAATCGATGTAGCAGTAAACATAAACGGGTGTGAATCTTTCCTTGTGGTAGTTTGTGTTAGTCTTATCGTTGTTCGTTACTAATCTATTGTTCGATGTGCTTGTTCGAGTGTCTCACCAATTATCACGACTATTCAAGTAGTTTTTAGGTAGTTACCAACGAAACTCTAGGTAAGGCTAGGTAAGGACCCAGTAGTACCTCCGCTGTAGAGGTCAAGGCCTTTTTTCACACAGCTTTCTCTTTGCAGCAATTTGTATCGAACTGAAATTCAAGTCACGTCTCGTTTACTTTTCAGAACACAATCAACTATGCAAGCTGCTACAAGCGAATAGAATTTGGTAATAGAAAATAGATTTTCTGTGTGTCTCTGTTATTCGTCACAACGATATATCATTGCCATTTTGTCCTCTAAGGGCTGCAGAAGCCATATATATAATATATGTAACGATAACCGAGCGTTGTGTCAAGTACAGCCGTGTTCCTACCGTAAATGTAGTATCTGCTATATAGCTATCCAGAGTTAAATGTGAATCCAGATACCCTATACGCCTTAAAGCTATATTTACTTAAGCTACTTGATATTGTGATCACGAAAATTTTGGTAATTATTTTGGTTATTATGGTATGTTAATTAAATTATCCCCTGGTTGTTAGTGTGTTAATAATTTTCCGTGTTCTATTTTTTGCCATTAGGGGCGAGTCCGCTTTGAGTTTCTTGAAACCGCTGCAGTGAATCGGCTGAGGATCAAGCATTCGGTGTTCGCTCACACAGTAGCATATCGATGCATAATTTTCCTAGAGAAAAAATTACTTGACGGCTTTATGTAGAAAAGCCTAGAAGATTAGAAAAATGTTCTAGTAGGACTAATAATTATGATTAACTAACGGTCGCACTTCAATCTTACATTGTAATTCATGTTATTGGATCTAGCTAACGGTTTCAACATAGTGAGAGTGGACGTCTAGCTCTTTTGTTTCCATAGCAATAGAAATATTGCCCGACTATATTCGAATCGATTTTAGATACGCCATATGTCTAACCGATATAGCAGTTTTGTCCTTAGCCAACAAACAGCTGAAAAAATACTCGTCCGCTGCTAGTAAATTCATACAAACAAAATAAATTTCGTCCCATTCGAATTTTACGGGTACGATTTTATAATTATTATTACGATGATTTATTCGTAAATTTTAGCAAGTCCCTGTTAATCTCGAACGTGTCGTCGTGGTAGATATTTATAATGCTTTTTCCTTATTGATTAAAGAGGCGAGGTCTTTTGGGTTGAGGCCCAATAGGCACAGACGGAAATGTTCAACTGAGAATGGGCTTATAATGAACGAGAAAACTACGCAATCGGCCTATTCATCTAGGCCCATCGTTATCCTATGTTTTTCAAAAACCTTACATTCACCCCGTTATTGTAAGCTTAGTAAGCCTGTAAGTGCATACGTGTGTCTGCTGGCTGATTTCGACACAGCGTCTATTTGTATACGAATTGGCATGTTAGCAAACTTATGTTTTTGGGCTGGGGTTATATTTTATCCATTTGGAAATATTATTCTGAAACGATGAAAATCTGTAGAGAGGAGGGAATGGCATCGATCCATCATTGAGTTAACGCGTTACGCATCCATTATATGCTGACATTTGTGTAAGAAGACAAAAAAGCATCAGCTTCTACTGTGTGTATATTAATGATATAATATCTACAGGATGGTTGCTTTTACATTTCCTAAATTATTGTAGCAGCAACAACAACAACAATAATAGTAGCAATAGCATTGTTGCTGTCCCTATTCTTATTACTCGTACTATGAATTCTTAACAATGTGACTGCGAGTAAATAATATAGACTTGTTCAATGAGCTCGTCTACTGAATCTTTTGCTCATCATCGTCGTTGTTTCTCTACGTCCGGAAGATCGTCTCTGATGAAGTCGCTGCGCGTTCCATATGCTCTGTGTATAATAGTCATTATGACACCAGTAATAACAATGATACCATATATTCTCATTACCATTAATATTTGTCTTAATAAAATAATGATATTATTAACCGCGGGACGGGTCTTGTATAAATGTTCCGAGATTAAGTACGAGGGCTGATTGAACGCCACCTCTTTCCTGTCTCCCCGAACTCTAGGCTGTGCCCCCCTGCGGTGTCATCATCATTGTCATGTAGGTGCAATCGTTTGCTCCTATGTACCTGTATCGAGGACACTTCATTGAACAGTTCGTATCGTTTCAATTTTAGATTGCTGTCTGCGTCATCAGTGTACCTTTTTTTTTGGTTTGTGATCAATTGGACGACGCTAAAATTTCCAATGGCACCGTGCTTCACCGGAGTATAAATGTTATAGCGAACTGTAACATAGTGTATTGCTTGATTTCTATTTTTTGCTGGTGTTATTTTTGCAAGCGGCCACTATGTAACTTGGCCGTATGAACGGATGCTGTTGCGGGGAGTAAAACCGTCCTTGATCTTGTTCTCCTCGCTCTGATTTTGTTTACCCGTTCACTCTATTTGCGTTTTAGTTATAATTCGTGTATTATTAGTATTAAAGTAAGCCTTGCTCTTGACACATGACGATCGAAAACGACGCATACACACGCCTCGTATCTGTACTTTATTGTTACTATTATAGCGTTTACCTCTCCCATTATTTCTTGCTTATACTGCCGCTACTGCTGTAACTACTGCTACTGGACTCTCTATTTGACCTACAACCGGGCGCGGAAGCGGCCCCAGTCGACACGTTGGATTCCTTGCTTTTATTCGCGACGTCCTTTGTCCTGCCGCTAGCAGGAAGGTCCAACGTGTTTATGACCGTGGGCAGTATGGTCGCGCATTCCGATGCCGATGTTGATGACGAATGCGTTGGCTGAATAGTCTTCGTCGATGGGCTGGTTCCGGCAGTTATAGAACGCGGCAAAGTCGACTTCGCGCTGCTACTGCTGCTATCGGTGGTAGAGACGGCGCCCTGCGGCGTTGGCTTGCTGCTGCTACCAACGGTGTCGCCACCGACAACAGCGTCCCTATGCTGGTGGCCGATGATGTCCTTTCCAGTAACAGCATCCTTACTTGCAAGTCCATGTGCGACTACTCCGCCGCCGATTAACCTGCTAGTACTGCTGTTAACGGTATCTTTACTAATCTTACAGTTGCTACTTGCTACGTCTGGTTTACTGCCGCTCCCACTGCCGCCGACACGATCGATTGCTACAGTCGGTTTTTTTTCTGACTTCGAAAAAGTGACGTCCTTACTGACGCCAGCGTCCTTCGGACTAATGAACGATGTTGTGCCGGCGGCTAGCTGATTGCTCGGCTGAGATTGCCAATCCCTGCTATTGGAAACCTGGCCACCTACGCCTCCTCCTGCTACAGTCTGCGAGGACAGCACCGTCCTTACGTTACTTGTGTCCTTTTCGACGTTGGCTCCGTTGGACGACGTCGTCGAACCAGCAGTGAAAGCCTTCACACTGCTTCTTGGCAACATGGTCGTGTTACCGCTGCAACTCGTATTGTTGCCAGCGCTAATGTTAGCCTTACCACTACTGATAGAACTACTCGTCATTGTAGTTGCTGCTGTTGTGGATGCGCAGCTCCTTGTGCTGGGCGCATTTCGGTTTTTATCATTGCCACTACCGGCCCGATTAATTGGACCGGTTTGGCCTTGACTGGCTGCTGCTGCTACCACTGTTGCTGTAGTTGCTAAGATTGCAGGGGCCTTTAGCGGACCCGACCCAAGGAAAGTTCCCGACGGGCCCGAATGGGGGGGCACAGGTGTGGAGCCCTGACTTAAACTATGACCAGAGGAGGCCGAACCTGATGGCATCACCTTGGGAACAGGCGGCGCCACAGGCGTAGCTGGAGTGGCCGGCGTCACGGAAAGTGTGAGGCCTGCCGCTGAAACAGATGGGCACGGCGGATTGAAGGGCGCCAGTGTGGATACGATTGACGCTCGATGTAGCGACGACATCGTCTGTGAAGGACTGAGCACCGCGGGCTTGCCGGGCTCAGGTGAGGAAGCCAGGATTTCCATGCGCGGGAAACAGCATTCGGAGCGTGGCCGAGGCAAGCCTCCATAGCGGCTTCCCGTCTTGAGGAATCCGTCTCCCCGCTCGTCATCGGAATCGTCCTTATTGATGAGCGCGTTGTCATGCGAAAGTAGCACCTCTACTGTGCTCATGTCGACCTGTGAGCGCACGAAACGAACAAGGGCGAAAGTTAATGCTAGAAGGCAAAACACCGCAGTGGTGGTGATCGAATCAATAGGGCTAGATTAGATCAAATCAATCTCAGAACAGTCGGGTTGTTCAAAATGAACCAATGAACAGGCAAACGATCCACCAATCGAGCTGCACAAGGTAACTACGTAACTAGAATAGATCGAGTTAGGCTACACTAGTGGTAGCAGCTGCAGTACTTTGTCCCCTTGGAAAATCTGGAAAGTCTGATAAAAATCAGAAAAAAATATAGGAGGGAAATAAGCAACTCATAAAGGCTATAGATATATAGTGAAAGGAAAAGGCAGGCCCAGGATAGCGGCACCGAGGAAAATGGAAAGGCAAGGTCATAGTTCAAGTGTCACAGACCTATTGGGCGTTAATTCGACCACTATCATCAACATCGCCATCATAATCATCACTCTAGTTTTATTGCCACCGAAACACATGTGGGCGGTAAACCTTGCCAAAGCCTAAACAGCTACCACACTCTGATCTCAGACGACATTTGCATAACAGTACAAAATCTGTGGCGAGAGCAGGATAAAAGGTGTCCGAGCGGCGTTATAACGATAATAGTAATGCTAGTACAAGTAAAGGTAGAAATTGGCAGTAACTATAGTTTGCAGGTTGTTCTCGGTCGCGAACGTACGATACGCCCGCAACAGCGGATCGCTGCGGTGCTGAGCTAGAACAGATCTAGGCCTAATTAAGCCGGTGCGACTGTCTCTATAAGTAAGTATTCGTGAAAGACAGAAGGGTGGATGATGCCATAGCTGTCAAAAGAGTATTTGTGACAAGGAAAAAGATTTTCTAGTGGTACGAGCGTAACTTGTTCAGACTACAAGTGCTGTGGTATTAACATTCGATGCCTAAATGTATTCATAAACATGACAAATAGTTTAGCAACATCACTATTCTCCATGATGACCATAGGCTACATTGTCCATTCAGTCTACATATGCCGACTCTATCCAATTGACAGCATTCATATATGGAACTGTAGAAGAGTTGAGCCTGAACGGAATAGCAGGGCTAGGCAGGAGGGAGAAAAGAAAGCGAGTTAAAAAAAGTAAATCTAAAAACAATACTCTACAACTTCCAAACTGACGTTTTCTTATTCGATCTTATTCGTTGGTCGTGTTGGCGATGCAGCTGATCGAAGGTCACTTCAGTGGAACGGGCAAATGGGAAAATGCCCACTCAGATTCTGCTGTTTCTACTGCAGTTGCGATGACTGAAACTGAAAAGTGGTATATACCAATGCACGCGACACGATTCTATCTGCGTCCCCCCACAGTGCATCGCTAGCAAACAGCAGAACGAATCGCAGATAAGCAAGGAGTCAGACAGACAAAGTAGAGAAGGAATTATACAGTGGCTATATAGAGGGGCGGCGGTGTACGAAGAAACAACTGAATACGACGCGAGGCGCAAAGCACTACTGGGTTACCGCGCGCGTACCCAAGGTTTTCGCGTTTCTATTAATGGTGATGCTCCCAGCAATCAATGACTAATTTTTTCATTCACACCAATGGGTTAATCGCTGCGCAAGTCTCTGTTGGACGTAAATAGGCCGCTACGCGCGGGGAAGGCTTCCGGTCGGCTTGGATCTTGTTCGTTTTGGTTGTGATAGTGGCAATTGCGTCTGGCGTGCGTTGTTACAACTGGATGGAGCGCATTGCGTGACCCGACTGTGCGTGACGAAAAACGGAACAGCCAGACCAGTGGTTCGATGAAAGTTGATAAATGTAGTATATATATATATATATATATATAAAATGAGCAGTAGTGTGGCAGATATACCGTGGATATCGAGTACAAGATCCGGACGTCTTGGATGAACTCGGTGTAATGAAACTAAGTATAGATATGTGGTTGAAAAAGGGAAGACGTAGAAGTTTTTTTTTTGGCTCAATCTATACAGATAAACATAACCTAAATTAACATACCTGTATTAACGAACACGTTCTCAGAGAGCTCGTTGAATAGGGTAGCCTATTGAATCACGAGGCGCAAACATGGGAGAACGAACTTAAAAGGTGCCTAACCGATACAGTTATTGATCGTTCTGAGAAGGGCAACGAGAAAAGTCACAAGAAAAAAAAATCGCTACTGAAAATTTGACAAAACGTGCCAATATTTGCATAAAGAACAAACATTTAATGAGCAAATATCCAAATTAAATACGTTAGACATCTTCGCGGTAAATATGAGGTATCGTTCAAATTTGGACAGCACGCGTCTATATTGCTTCACGCACAAACGACAAGCAACGGTGACTATAGATGGCTGCCATATAGACTCATTGGTGAAGATAGAACCTATAGAATAAGCAGAAGGACAACGGATGTAATTGCCAGACAGCCAGGACGAAGGAGAGCTACCAAGGTGATTTGGGTGAAATTATAGACTAAGAACAGAAACTGATTAGAAACTCAAGTGACATCGACCAACCGGATTAAGCAACAATAACAACCGTGATAATAATTTCGACTATTAAAGTATTGAATTAAAAACCAAAGCATTTGATAAATTCAGCGCCGTTTGAAAGAAGGCTTTGATTAGGAGCGACTTGAGTTTTTGACTGACCGTTAGCAGAACAGGAGGGTAGCAGCGTTAGAGGGCAACGAACGCAGTAACGTAGTGGAGACACGTTAGATGGAGAACGGACGAATTAGAATAGTCTTTATGGTGACGCTTATATTTGGTAGGTTGTTAGTCGATCTATTAGTGGTGGTCGAAGCTCGATTTCAACGTGTATGGACCCGGCAGTCCTGAATGTGTCATGAGACTGCTCCTGAATGCTCTAACGGTGTATCAGGGCACTCGTTGATTCGACACACAATGTCAGCCAATGAGAAGGTGCTAGTCGTTGTTTTACCACATTGTACAATTGATTAAAGCAACCCCTGGCTTTTCGTCCTACCAGAGACGCTTGTTGATGTAGTCGTCGCTTTTTCGGAGAGCCCCGCTTGCCAATTCATCGTCATTCCACATCGTTGTGGGCGAGGAAATTTTGGGGCGTGGTAAGCCGTCGGTGGCAATAGTGCGGGTTTCGAATATTGATGAAGTGCTAGATCATCGACTTGGTGAAGCGTACCGTTTCACCAGCATCGTCATTGTCTGGTCGTCTTTCGCGAATATCAGAATGCATAACTTTCATTTCGAGGGTGAATATGTCGTCATTCTTGCAGTTCTTACTCTTGTTGTCGTTATTGTCTCAATCAGCTGGCTAAATTTTATCTGAATACGCTAAGCGACCGGCGACTGGGGTGAAGGCGGGGACTCGTCGAAAGACTTGACCTTTTCGGCCAGCTTCCAACAACCGTTTAGCCGCGCCAGATGCGGCACCCGGCGCTAGAACGGACACGAGATACACAACAATACGCACAATACATAGATATACACACGTAAAAAATATTCGTTTTTTTCCGTGGCAGTTGAAGTGGGCGCAGCAGCATAGCATCTTGCCGTACGCCATTTTGTTTCGTGGAAAACTTGGACACACGTCTTTACTTATTTACATTCCTCTGCATTTTTTTCACTTCGCAATTATCTTAGATGCGTAAACAACAGAGTAAGTTGGTGCCTCCTTTGTTCATTGTCGATACGTATTTTAATGTCACTAATAAAAATATATAGAGCAAAAAAGATAAAGCAAAGAAAAATAGAGGAACACAAGCAAGGAACTGCAAAGCTGCTATACGGAAACCTGGAACACAGCGTTTCTTACTAGATGCATTCTCGTAGCTTTGTCTGCATCCTCTGGTATCATTAGGTCGCGAAAAACTTTTGGCCATGGCACTGAGAGGCCAACAGAGGAATACCCCTTTCCCCCTCCCCAAAGCATTCTATATTGCCTGAATACTTCAACTAAAACTTTCTAAAAACTGGAATTCAAGTGGCCTTCGGAAACAAGATCATTTCCATTTTAATGATGAAAAGAGAGCTCCACAGACGAGCAGACTACGATAATCTCTTGTGTAAGTATCTGCTAGCAGACTCACGCAGATAGAGGTCTGAAATGCCTTGCTTCGTGGTAAGCGATTTTCCGAACCAGATAAACCATTTACATTTATATTTTAACATAGGTAATCTTGTTAGATATGGTTATTTTTTATCATCATATGCACTATCTGCTAAAACCAAAAATATCGTTATCCTCAAGCAACCTGCATTTCGTAAGACATACCCATTGTCGCGCTGCTTTTTTGACTTGTTAGTATGCCCATCTACCAAAAAGTAAGCCGTAAACGTACATTTGTACGTGTATATATCTGACGATAGGCACTTAACGCACAGAGTATAGGCTAGTTAAAGCACATTCTGTATGAATGACTATGTACGTAGGCAATATTATTCCTAGAATAGGACACTCGCTTTCTTAGCTTTTGTAATTTGCATTACTGGTTTAAGTTGATATAGTTTTGAAAACAAAACCTGCTAATTTCATAACGACATTGATTAGAAGCTTAATTTGGCATTTTACAAAATAGTCGCCATATATACATATATATATATATATATATATATATATATAGTGTCAGCTTGACAGTTCGCTGACTGGACACTCCTTTGTCGGTTTCTGTGCAATACAGCGGTGACAAGGGCAGAAACTGGTCTAAAATAAAGCCACTACAACTAACTTTGCGTCACGAAGACAATAGATGCTCATAGAATTTCGATAAGTACTATGATACTGTTCGTCAGAAGTTTCTTACCAACTGGATAATCCTGGCCGGCGTACACATGAATTGAAGTTAAACAGGCAGGTGAATTGTTAGTGTGCAATGTTTCCGGCATTTTATGATCAAAATCGAAGAACGTTTCGGATAACGAGATGTTGGCGGAAAACGAATACAAATCACAATGAAGCTTTGGTTTGATGGCCAAGTCAGCCTAAATCGGTGAGATAGTTGATACAGTATAAGCATAGTACAGTATAAAGATTAATCTTTTGTTGTGTGTTGACGTTTGTGTCGATGGTACGTTACGTACGATACGAAAATGCATAAAAATAGCCAGATTCACATAGGGTTTATATGCACGGTATGCATGTAAACGATAAGAACGACCCGTGTCTCGCCGACGAGTGTTAACGTGAAAGGGTTAATCAGAGACGTGTAAAGAATAAAGAAGGTGAACGAAGTAGCAAACCAGGCTGTGTAATACTCTTGCCTTACCTTGAGCAAGTCCCCGTCGGAGTGTTGACTGACAACGATACTGGGGTCGATGCCGATCTTGTTGAGTCGTTCGGCAGCGATGGACTCCATGGTCCGCCTGACAAGCGGGTACTGATCAAGTACCGTATTGAAATGCTCAACAGACAAAGAGAACAAATTGCAATAAGTCTCGGCCCGAACGGACGCCACTCGTCGCGCGTTAGTCAAGAGACAGATCTCGCCAAAATATGAACCGTCACTTAAGCTGGTCGCAACTTCCCCGCCCGCCGTCACGATATCGACGATGCCCTCCTGGATAAAGTACATTTTTGTACCGATGGTACCCTCTGAAAATGTCACCATCCAGATACAAACACCAAAAACGAATCCGCACAGACAGAGGTAACGACAAAGGGACAAAACAGCAGCAGCAGCAGCAGCAATGAAAAGCACGAATGTTAACGTGGTGTCTGTCCGTCCGCATGCATACAGGATAAAAATAGAAAGAAGGAGTAGAAAAAACGCAGTTCACCCAGTTATTTCGTGTTCACTTAAAGGTATATATGGCTGTATGAAGCGAAATGAGGAAAAAAGGCGTTATTTTTTTAAAAGAAAAAACAGGTGGCCGATATATGTTCTTTGTCAATTCAGCAGTCAACTTCAGTGGGTGCAATCGAGAAGTGGAAGACGCTGCCGCTCCAATGAACGAAAGACACATTGTCAGGCGGCTGTGCAAAAAAGCCGCAGGCCTCACAGGCTTTGCTCGTCAAGTGTCCTTTCAAGTCTATCGATGACGGAATCTCAGAGAAAATGATTGGCCTCTCAACACGTAGACTCTACAAAGTTACTTTCACTTCGACAGAGCACAACTTGGCCTGGCTGCTGGCCCTTCTCTAGCACGTAAGATTCAAAAGGCTTGTTTGCAAGAAAAGGCCGACGTTCCACATTGTTACTTCATCTCTCAGGCTTGCGCACAGACATATATATATATATATATATATATATGCTTAACGATTATTCGTAGGAAACGTGTTGAGTTTAGAGAGCAAGGATCGTAATTGCGCCCAATAAGTGATTACAAGCTAAAAAAAGGTAAAGAGCGCTTCGTCTCTGCCGAAATGAAGGCCGTAATGAAAGTTTCGTACATTTCTACATTATATTCCCTTAAATTTTTAGTTTCTGGTTTCTATTGTGAAAAACTTTGAAGTTTTAATGCTATTATTATTTTCATTGTTCTTTAATTTCAAAATGTATCCTAGCACTGTATTCCTCTAGCATATTATTAAAACTTACGAAATTTACGACGCAAATAGAGAGTCCAGAATCGGATTGGAGGACTTCGAAAATGCAGCGTTTTACATCCCTTGGATCTTCTATTATAGTAAAGAGAAACTTCGGCGGCTTGTTGTTTTATCTTTGTAAATCGATAACCTTGGCCTTACAATACAATGCTCTGCGCTTATACTTGCGCAATCAGACTTCTCGCATATGCCACTGCGTACTCAAATACTACCCAAATATTTAACTGTATATGTACATGTATCGTATTTTCTACAAGTATTTTGATTCCATGATCGTATTTATATGGCATGCAAAATTTTGAGACAAACATCCACCTGCTGCGTACGAGATAATGAGAAGGATGATTACGGTACCTTTTATTATGAGGTCTCCAGGCTGGTACACTTCATACTTGAGTTTCGTCACAACATCGGAGACGAAATCGGGATCGGCATTCGCGAAGAACGGCACGGATGCGACCAGAGAGCGACAGTTGTAGTTAACTACGTCTTCATGCAGCCGCTCAGAGAGCTCGTTCAAAATATCGTCTTCGTTGAAAAATTTGCCCTGGTATCGGTGCTCGAAGTAATCTGCGATGCGTTGACGAAGGTCCCTTGGAAGTTTTCTATAAACATACGCATTGAGAGATACGAGGCATGAAAAGACGCCGCCAACAAATAGCTAGCGTACTACTATTGTGTCATGTTTTGCGTGAAAACGTCGATATTCTTTTAAGGATAGAGAAACAGGGTCGCCACCGGAGCGTGTGTGGTTATAGCGTCGTTACCTAATTGATCTAGTTTACGTTCACACAATTATATCAGAATAACCAGTAACTAGTAATTCTGTCAGGCAATAAAGTTTGCATTTAATCGCATGTTTCTTCTATGAAGAATTTTGTCAACGCCAGCCAGCAAATATAAATATATATGTAAAGGTAACACTACCATCAGACACGAACGGTCCATGCGTGATTAGGACTATCGTTCGATTTCTACTTGTCGTCGAGACCGATAGAAGTTGTCCAGACTTGAAACTAGCAGCAGACTTGTTACCACATTTTTGTACCAGCATAGAACGGCAAGCACTACGATTCACTGAAGCTGTGCAATGCCGGGTCTCTGTCGTCGATCTCAGCTTCAGCAAATTCAGCTGCCTTACTGATCATTATAACGAGCATTAGGTTGCTGCCTGGTGATACAAGGACAAATTGATTGCATAGACGTACGCCTTCAACTAAAGTGGACAATAGTCGCGTGAGTGCCACTGGTTGTAAAGGACAAACGGAGTTTATCTGCAAATGTAGGCGCTCTCAAATACTATTCATCTAAAGCACATGTGATGAAAGCTGCTTGAAACAGTCGAGCAGTCCAACTTACCTATAAGCCATGTACTCTTCAACTTGTTTTAACTTCTCTCGGTAATGTCTCCTGGAGGAGTCGAGCGATTGGATGAGGTTGGTAGTGTGGCCGAGAAAAAGGGCATAGCATGTGGCGCCAGAGATCATTGAAAGTAGGGTAAGCCACATGTCGGTTACCGACTGCGGCGGGAAGCGCCCATACCCTGTCAAGAAGATGCAGGAATAGCAAAATCACTGTAATTATGGTGTTCAAGTCTCGTTTTAACACGTGCTATAAAAAGTTAGGAAATATATATCTTCAGTAGCTAGGAACATTCAGTTCTAAATAACCTTCATCATTGAATTGGCTGCGCTATCCCTACGAATTCATTTGGAAACGAATCGGCTATTTATCTAGGATAATAACTAGCGGATCTACTCATTCGTTATTTTACAGTTATACTATTTGCTAATGTATCATTTAGGCATGAGATTTATATTCTTAATAACGATAATAACAACGGAATATAAGATTGTATGGTGCAAAAATTTATTTATTACGAAAATGAATGATGCTGTGGTCCAGAGATCTCTAAGGACTGTTGATAATAGCCATGTGTGACCTACCGAAAATTGTCGAATACCTTCTGATTTGTGTGTCTAATTCGGCTGTGAAATGTCTTTTCTAATGGCAATGTTTAATTTTTCAAAGGGTTCCTAACAACATAAAGGGACAAGGCCAAGCCAAAAATCGCATTTCAAAATTGGCGCTAACTGAACGATAGGTCACAGAAAACGTAACGATAACATCATTTTCTATAAACTATCGCACCTATGTGACCATTAGACCTATCTATAGTTGTGAATGCCTGTCAGTTCTCCTTGCCTGTTAGTGTTTTTCTTGCTGTCCTTGCAAATTTAATTCTAGTGATGATTCGATCTAAACTAGGCAGCGATTCATCGATAATCAATATAAGGAGTACAGTTACCAAGCCTCGTTTAGATTTGGTCTTTTCGATATTGTTGGCCTGAACAACACCCTATGTATCGGTAATCCGTCGTTTCTGAAAAAACTGGAACGGCGTTCGTGTCTAGACCTTTTTGACCCCGCCTGAGTAAACTAACAACGTTACCTATATATTAACATCCCAGTGAAATGATTATAGTGACTTTAATTGATACGATGCACCATGCAGCTGTTATGAAGAGGTCGTGGTATAAATCAACCATACCAATCAATGCTAGCCGCCAGTTTATTCAATGCTCCGTTTATTAAAACAGCAGAGGCATTCATCCTCCTTGACCTGAACGGTTCGGGCTTTGAGTGTTTCTGCATTACTTTCCCGCGTCGGCCTTTCTGAGAGCCGCACTGACAAGAAGCATTGAAAGACAATGCAATCTAAATAGAGTTCTTTTATTTATCTGTTGAACAGAGTCACCCGCTCGCAAAGTCAAGCGTCCTTCTCTCGCAGCGGTATTTAACCATTTGTCTCCCATGAAACAACATGGAACAGTTACCAGCTGTAAGATATCAGACTGTTAGAACAAAAAAATGGCTAAATGCTTGCGAGGAAATAGAACACAGCGGGTGAGCAAGCTATTGATGGCACCGCTGTGTCTTGGGAAACACGAGAGGGCTTTATTCTATATAGTCATTGCGTTCAACACGACTGCAGGCGGGGTGATGAAAGTGAAATTCATGTTAGGGTCATTTTGACATGAAATGCTGCTGATAAAGCAGCTCCATTGCTGATAAAGCTAACTGCTGTTGGTCTTCTTTAGATTTGTTAAAAGGGTACAGGACAGTAAATAACGTTATAATAAAATATGGAATGGGAAGTCCGAAGGAAGTGCATAGGTGAAATCCTCGGAGCCTTTTAGATGAAAGTATATAGATAGCACTTCCGATATACTAAATAGAAACTGAGAAGTCAATGAGTGGTCTTTAGTATCAGGGACCAAAATACGTATATCAATACAGCCACAAACAGAGATGTACTTAGACAGTTCAAAATGTTCTAATCTCTCGTTGCTGGCTGTTTCAGGACGCACCAAATGCTTATTTGAAATATGTCACTTCCCAATACAATAAAGCGACTGAGCAGCGTGACCAACAATCTGCTCTTAAGACAATATAAATTATCATGTTCATGTTATTTCTATTTGCGTGTATTTCTTCATATGTTGGTGTCAGTCACAAAACGATAACCGGTTCACCGCGATTTACTTGGTCTCTTCGTACATATCGATGTGGACCGCATTGATTTGGGTCGTCGAAAGCAGCTACGAGTATTTTATATTCAGCTGCATGACCTGAGAATCATTCTAATCAAACGTCTATTTTTCTTGTATATTAAAAATTAGTTGACATCCTTATGTTTTAGCCGTTTCATAGCTGCGTGGCGTTACTTTGCTACGATAGTGAAAAGCTCGTAATAGTAACGATTGAACTTTTTGAAAGACCCTAACGTCATTCTCTGTACCCCTAGCAGCACACCCGTGTCGACGTCAAACTTTTACGCGACGGGCTTTCCCCATTCAAACCGTGCTTTCATCTTCTGTTTTTCTCTCTTCAGGGTCCCTATACCACCTTCTGGAACGAACCTCCACCCTTGGCTAACAGACAGTATATGTGAGACTACTCGACTCTTCGACCAAACGAATACGTTCAAATGTCCCGGCGTCATTTCGAGCTGAGCAATCCGTCACTGCGCGCGCTATGACACAGGTCGCGTTGTTCAAGACGACACCTACGAAGCCCCCGAAGAAGCACTCGAAAGTATGCGCACAACACCAGATGTCGCTTTCTAAACTTACGAGAGATAAACAAAGCGATAAGAATAATCATTTATTATCTAAACATAAGAACTTTACATCTCTCAACGGACCTATGAAGTCCAGATAGCCTTCTCCAAAGGGTGGTTTGGAGTCGGTGCTGAATGAAAAATATCGCGCCCTTTCAGTTGTGCTGTCGGCCAATCTCGTACAGAACTACCACCTCTCGAACTCGCGATCCGACTCCGCTTCAGATAAGAAACACGCTCTTACAAGTTTCAACGTTTTTCATGAGACCGAGAAACTCTGCTATGCCTAGGAGTGGCAAGGGTGATCGTCTCTTCGACCTGGGGTAGGGGGATCAGGAGCAGTGTTCTTGCCCCCTTGACCTAGCATGTGATACCAGCATTGAACCCGTACACTGAAAAATGAGCTTCTCCCATCAGGCCTTGAGATTATCGTAAGCAATTGAGGGCCCTTTCAATGTGTTCTCCGCACCGTCGCTTGGTCGAGCCTCCCGTATATCACTAGCGGTCCGTCGTGACAAGGAGTTCTCGTTAGCATTGATGGTGTCCCTTACGTGCATACGTTACAACATTCCGCGCTCCTTTTTGTGATGTGGATCTGTATCGCCTTTAGTTCTGTTTCACTGGCGTCCGTTTGCATTATTATCTCCAATTCTGGCGGAAATAACACCGAGCGGGCCAAATGCTATTGAAATCACTGGTAGATCGATTGATGATATAGTGTTTAGTGCTCGCTAAGGTAAAAATTGGATTTTTAATCCACGCCTAATCTTGGCGGTAGGAGGCAGGACCTGACAAGCTCCCTGATCATCGCTACGGTGGGTAGGGTTTGCACTATCTGAATCTTCTCAGAGTCTGGAGAAGCTCTAAAAGCTGTAGCCGTCTAGTAGTTGAAATACACTATTGTTTGAATCGCAAAGGACCATTTCTTGATTATCAATGGAAATTCGCCAGAGTCGATGGCCAATGGCATCTCGTTACGGTGTGTTACATGAGTGTTGAAGTCGCTAGATCAAACTATAATTAAATTTGCTTTGAGAAAAGCGAGTGCATTCACGAGACCAAAAAGCATGAGCTCAAACTACTAGAGGCCTTACCTAAGTACCTCAATCGTGAAGACGTACGCTAATCTGCTATTGTTTGTTGATCAGATCCACTGTGCTGAAATAGCGGCTAACTGTGAGAGTATCAATAGCGTCTTAGCTATGTTACAATGAATAAACGTGATTGCGTTAAGTCTACGGTAGACAGAGTCACATCCTCGGATCCTTTCCCACGAGATATGTTGATGGGCTGAAGCATATTGCGGTTTCGTATAGATTGGCTGTACATCGCGGGCTGCTATCACGTATTGGTGGTATGTATATGTATATTTACTTTTTATTCCATTTTATTAGTTTGGACTTTACACGGTCACAGAAGATGCTCTAGTCCGTTGCACGAAATGACGGTGCTTACTTTATGTCAACTTGGCCCTTAGTCCGAGAATACGAGTAGAAGCATTTTCTCCGTCGTTGCCGATCTGAATGTAGCATATTCTGCTTGGTCTTTTCTCTTAATGGAGAGATTGCCATCTTTTCGGCCGACACATGACACGTACTACGAAGACTTTGCGAGCCCGTCGAGCTGAAGCACAGCATTTGGAAGTTCGGTTTAAACCATCTAGCTGATAGAACCCGTATAGATGCCAGTGACAGTGTATAAGAATTGCATAACAAATATAATTAATCCGTTTACTTAGTAAACTGGAATCTTCTTGACAATAGTGTTGTCTTTCTCATGAAAATGAATTATTAAGATATATATATATATATATATATATATATATATATATATATATATATAATGTATGGCAACTAAAGCTTATTTAAGGACGAATCCAAATGGCGCCGGCAGTTAATTCGATTGAGACATATAAAAGAAGTTGGAGTGGGAGTTGACATCGTCGATTGAGAATGACGCTTATGTATACGTATATGATGAATAAGTCGATCCGTGGCATGTATGCCAGCCCTCCGGAGAGCCAATGAAAGATTTAACGACACCATATAAAGCTTAGAAGGTTCATCAAAGCGGGCGCGTCTCATAACGTAAGCACCGCAACTCATGTCCAAAGAAAAAACGTATTGGTCCAAGGTCTAACGTTTGTGGAAAGCTATTATATTACGTACAAATGAGCTAGGATATTTTGTTACATAAATTAAATAAACTAACTGCCAAACGTAAATATCAATTTTTTACCTTAAAAAGATATAATATCTTACTAAAGTTTAGTTATGACTCGAAATTATTCATTGTTTATATCAATGCTTAGTATATATCGTATCCTCTGTTATCGTAATAAAATAAATTTCTGCTTGTCATTGTGTCGTATTGTTGTACATGCTTTCCGTACTTGTAGTACATATCATTCACAAAATACTCGGCATTTTTCAGTTACATTAACTAGCCAAGTTGAATTTTGAAAGGGAAGCAACTGCAAAATCGGTCCTTTTAGAAAAGGACCTGTTGTTTGCAGTAAATAATAGGTATGACTTAGCATTATAACACAAAGATGTATAGTACTACTTATTTATCAGTTATACTTACCTATACACAGCATATGCGACATGGCCTTAAATAGGGCCCACGAGTATTGTTCAAACCAATCTTTCTTGGCTAGGTCGTTGATTGTGACCCAAGAGTTATTTGGGAACCCTTGCAGCATCGGTACGAGGAACTGAAGGCACCCACTCCAGTGGCCGATTAATAGCATCATACAGATGAGGTTGATGATTTTCATGAACACTGACGCCATGTTGAGGAAGTATACCTAAAGGGGAAAACGTGAGGGCGCACTTTTATAGCTATATTCGATTACTATATTCTTTAATGGTAACCGTTTGCAATAGGTTAACCCGTTCTTGGGAACCTAGGCCCAACAACACAAACACCTATATATGTTGCGAGAATGCCACTGCTGGAAAGGGCTGAGCTGAATATTCAAGTACGTCCGAATACGTAAACCACAGAACTTTCCCACTGTGTGTTTTCGAACAATAAATCAATCATCTTCTATTTATTTATTGAAACGCTGCAGCAACAATTTGAAGTTGTTGGAATAATTAATAAAGCACGCATGCATTAAGCGGTATTATCCTAACCAGAGCAGGCCGAACCATATTTAGCTTTTTTCTTTTATTGTAATTTTACCATCGCATACGAAATATATTAAGGATGACCTTAAGCGGTGTACTTTGGACAAACCTCCTCCCACTGGTTAACATATCGGACCAATCTGGAGAGGCGCAGTAGTCGAAGAAGGCTCAACATTTTGGCAAAGCGGAGTATTCTCAACGCACGCCCTGCCTGCAGATAGGTGTTAACGTCCTGGTAGTCCTGGATGAATATGAGAAAGATGTAGTCGAGAGGAATCGAGGAGACCAGATCTAAGAAAAACCACGACCGGATGTAATGGTGTGCGATCTCCTTCGGTTCGAGAATCACCTGGTACAAGACGCGCGGTGTCATTAATCGATCACTAAGTAGTTAAGTTATCACTTCTGTACTGTCATGTATAGACTTGTTTCAACAAAATAGCGATAAGGGGACAATGTTGATACAACATGACCTGATAGTTTGCCTCTACCGATATGCCCTAGCGTAGGATTCCACGTAATCAACCTATTTACCTGCAAAAATACCTAAAACTAATTTAGATGAAGTAGGGATAGAGGATGAAGATGTAAGAAGCTACGGGAGCAGCGCGTGCTTGGCGTGCTCCATGCACGGTGAACACACGATTCAGTGTTAATCACTGGATCTGCCAGTACCGATCAATTGAATTGTTTTCAAGTGTTTTGTACTAGTTCATATATTGAAATGCTACCATATGGCTATTTAACTTTAAGCCGTTGAAAATCCTTGTTTATTTACAGAGAACAATAATTGTTTTCAACGATCGGTCGAATATGGCAGAAACAGGTGTTCGTAGGTTTAATTTTAATCACTCTCCATGCTCTGTAAAAAGTCCGTTAACCTTTGATGTTATTTGAACTAAGGCTTAAAGGTATGACGGTGATATTATTCAAAAGGCGGTTCCTTTCGACAATTCTAATTTTTGGTGTTTTTTTCTTTTTATTTGTATGATATAACCCTAACAACAGCATGCGCTCTAGTATCGTAGACAACATAATCAGCATATGCCAGTAAGTGCATGCCCTATATTATTCCGGGTCTAAAATGCCAGTTTACAATATCGTACGTATATGGATAACGACATTCTCTTATGTACGCTCTCAGGTTCTGAGCGGAAGCAGCGCAGAGATCGATTAGCTAGCTCAACTTGGTCGCCTCGATAATGTGTATCGACCCACCATAAAATAGATGAGCTTAAAGTCGTCAAAAATCGAGAAGTTCACTTCAACCCATAACGCAGATCAATAGTCCTGTGCCCGGCTAGTATGCAGGGAACAAAACTTTCAAGAAATCGGAACACAGCTTTATTGCTGTTATCATCACGGGTGCTTCGCTCTGACATAATATATGGACAAAACCTTATACAATAAGGTAACCGCTATATAATGTCGATTCGGCGCATAGGGTCAACTCAGAAATTCGGTTGGATTGAAGGTGAGCGGGTGTCTAGCCGTGATGTGTGCAGATGCCTCTTAGGTGTGCCAGGACAGACTGTAAAATCGAGCGAAATATTTGCCCTTAGCGACATTCAAACACCGTACCGTGATCGTCTTTAGTACATACATACAACAATTCGTATATTAGCAAAACATCGTTGAAAGTATTGTTTCTTTTTGCAGAGCGCCGTGGCGTTTCTAATCGACCATTTCCGTATCGCTCTTTCTTAGCCGTCACTATTATTATTAGTTGACATATCCACTTCAATGTAAACAACAGAGAATCAACATCTTTGCTCGGGCTTGCTTCAAGTACATGCAATAACACAAAGACTGAAGTCAGTTTCAATCATCGATTTGTTATATTCTTTGTTCGAGCTAGTTACTAAGCGCGTATAACACGTTCAAGGACGATATCGAAATGCGTAGCTAGCTGTCGTCTAAGCGGTCGGTGACGACTAAACGTATAAGAAAATAAACATTAGCTAACTTATTTTTGAAAAGGGAACATGGCAGAGGATTTGGAAAAGTAAAGAAATTTGTTTCCGTCACTTACTTGTTCCGAGTTGTCCTGATTCATGATGCCCGTGCGGAAGTTAACAACGATATCTAAGAGGAAGATTGTGTCCGATAAGCAGTTGAACGCTATCCACCGCGCAGATAGATCGTCGTTAAAAAACGAGATGGCCACAGGAAGCACGATCAGGTTTGCCACGAGTAACGTCAGCATGCACAAGTCCCAGTAGAATCTGCGACGAAACAGAAATAATCAAAACAATCTGTATAAATAGCTCATAGGGACGACTAGCTATGTTAATAATTCAAATATATATTCTGCACGGATTTCTCGCGCTGAAAAACGTGAACGTTCCACAAAATTTCTACAATTTCCCACTGCGTTTTCCGGTTGTGGGAAAATAGTTGGCGGTCGATTTCCCCACAATTCCTATAGAGTGTACGCGTAAACACTAAAGCATCACATCATATCATGTAGTAGGAAAATCTTGTTTATGAACGTTTCTCGTAGCTCGTATATATAGTCCGGCAATGAAGTTACTGTTATTTGAGCAGTAGCAGTATTCGATCTGCTAATTTAATTTCTTTTTGAAGATGTCACACAAAAACTTTTGCACAATAGATTGCTATGCATGAATTCGCATCGATCTTTGATGGCAGTCATCGCAACCTCCACAGACACCATTTTCAGTGGAAAAGAAATCTAGAGCCTAAACGAAGTTTCGTCCTTAAGGAAGCCTGGGTAGATAGTCGAGTGAACAGATCAGAGAGCCTGGGACGTATGATTGCTTCGTTACGGATTTCCTTTACGACTTCATTCACCCTTTGCTTGTAGCCTCGAAATTATATAACCAAGACTATACCGGTATTCTACACACAGAGCTGCCTTATTCCCTTCAAAAGATCCCACTATCTTTTCCACTTTACGAGATAGTAAAGGTACGAAACAAACATATTCATGTAGTATTTGGCTCACTTCAGCTCATTGTCAAATGCTATAACCAATGCATTGATTGGCAAATTCTATTCAACCGTTCCAGCACAATGCAACGCTCACTCACGCCTTGAATTCGAACAGCGTCCTTGTGCACTCGTCAAGTTACGTACGAGCTAAGGTTGCATAAGTTACATAGGCGGTAACGGATTTTCTAACAAAGGGGTTATGATTGTTCAGACGGATTACAAAACACACTCAGGCACTACAACAGACATTTTCAGCCAACGAATGTTTTCGTCGTGAGCCTGAATATGTTAGCTCTCTTATGTGAACCTTAAACAGCTCATGGTACATATAAATCTGTGGAATAAAGAGACCTATAATTGAGGTAAAACTTGCGTTCATTGGAAGAATTCATTTTTCAGATTGCATAAACATGCAAAAAAAACTTAGATTTCAGATGTGCTTCAATATCGATTTGTATCGATCGACCTTCTATCGTATCTTTTAGAATTTCTCCCATCGAAGACAAGAGATTCTACGCCCTGTAGGCTAACTCTTCATGCAGCACTATGCTTTTCTGTAGATCTATTTTCTCACAGATTTTCCCAAAATGCTCCTCATTTGCCAACTTTGCCTTGTTACATCGCTCTTGTCAACACCAACGCGCCCTCTCGACAAATGGTTATACCCGTTCTCTCTAGCTAACTTCACTGGCTATTTTATCGTGAAAGTCAGTTGACGGAGATGTTGATTAGCCGATACCACTGCTAAATCAAAGCGCCCTACTTTCCATATGCGGCTTTTACCAATTTCTTGGAAAGGCTCAAGTGGATTCTCTTTTAGAAAGCGGTATTGGAGGCTGAGGTATGGTATGTCAGGCGGCAGTGTCGCCGCCTGGTTATTGTTATCTCTGACACCATCGGGACTAGACTCATTTCGCATCGGCATATCCGACAGACGGGTTCTACTCAGGCAAGCGTTTGGGCAGGCTTTTTTGTATCACACACATGTATTTGGTTTGTAACCGAGTAGTGGTCGACAAGCGCAGCGTTGGAAGGGCCTGCTGGAGTCTGATCAGGGGAACGTTGCACATATAAAGTGCGGAGTGAGATGATGGCTGACAAGCCGGTCCTCTACACATCGTACTAACTGAGTTCCCGGCACAGTAGACGCGGCGGCAACAACAGCAGTAGTAGCAGCGAAGGCTTATGACTAACGTATGGCGATTGCAGGGAAACGCCTGTCGGAAGGTAACAAGATAATGTTAACGAATGAAAACCTTCACTGAGGGAGAAGTGAGGAAGAATGGACTATTACCGCCGTTCTTCGCAACACACTCTCCAGCCACAAGCTTAATCCGCAGTCGAATCGCGCGATCAGACGTGGACCAAAGTAGAATCAACTGACGCTTTTGTACTGAAACACAGAGCCAAAAACGGAAGTTGAGTTTCGCGGCGCCAAACATTATAAGGCTACAATATGGTGGCCCTAAAACGCGACTGAAGCCTGCACGAAAAACTCTTTTATGAGCTGTTTTCATAAGCGAGGATAGGATACGACAGTAGAAGGAAAACTTTAACTGCGCTACATAGAAGCTTCCTTTAGTCTCTATCCTCAATTTACATATTTATAAGTTACTTTCTTCCACAATTGATAATTAACTTTTATTTGCAACGAATGGATTGACAAGATCTCGTAACCGGCACACTGATGATAATAAAGTGGCCATGTGTTCGCTTACTAAAATTATACACACGTGCTGATCTACGTCCAAAACCAGGCATGAGTACACTCGGCTTCAAGCTGGTGCCAGCCATCGAAAACAGCGTTTAACGGTAGCGTCAGGCTTAAAACCCTCAACATTGAGGTATAAATTATAGATTCTCGTGTTTTCTAAAGCAATGCACTTCCTGACATGAGCTTTGAAATATTCAACATACCCAGCTCTAAAGGTGCCCATGAATTGAATGTTAAAAACTATGAATTTGTCTTCGTCAATGCTGTCCGTAGCTGCATGAATCAGTACAGTCATTCTGCACAGGTCCTTCCTACTTGGACTTGCAGCAAGGGAGCTGAGTCGGCCTACCTAGTTTGTTTGAGCTTAAACTCCGCAATATTACTATTGCGACTAGTTGTTTGTTGTTTGAATATATTTCAATTCCTGCAGCCGCAGATTAAACAGCACTAATATCTGCGATACTCTACGGTTGTTAACCTGGGGCCCAAAAAACGACGATAGGCAAGCGAACGATGTTAAATCAATTAGACTTTAAAGATCGAATTTAAATTTATACAGTCTGCATTTGCATCTCTATGCTTACATATAATAAAAATATCTGAAACGCTTTCCGTTGTGAGCAAGTATTATCACCGTCAGCAGCGGTTTACCTTAGAAAAGGCTAGAAGCCTCAAGATCGTAACGTATTTTTTTTCTTTCAGAGTGCCTGAGAAAGACATGGGAAATCGGTGTGTTTATATCGCGGAATTCCGGCCTCTGCATTTCGTTTTCTATACTGCGGCAAAACTTTTCCCGCCGATTCGTTGTCTAGGAAAGCCAATGGGTTCCCTCGGGTATTTTGGACTCAGGCTGTGGTTCACCCTGAGATTCAATAGCGCAGGATTACATCTGATGCCGAATAGAAACAATCAGTTAGCCAAGCATGCAGCACAACTTTCCGGTAGGCCATCACCAAGAGCTTGAAAAAACTCAGCAAATATAACTTATCAATTGTAGGCTTAGTTGAGTAATAAGATATCCTAAGGTAATTAGCATCCTTTGACCTCCGTATTACAAATTTTCATCTACCGCTCGGGACTGTACTGCTTTAAATATATTACTATTGGGTACGAACTAGATGATGATATTTAAGTTGGACAAATACTTGAAGTTTGGAGCAATCAACATAAGTTGATCGATAATTTGCGAACTCTCCATACAGTCATTCCTATGCCAGCCAAAGACTTATCTTACCACGAAAGACCATTCTACTTACCCCCAGGGTGTTAGGTAACCAAGTTTATACATGCTGTCTGTGCTGCTACATTTTTCGTTCATATCAGATTAAAGTAGAACCTATAATAGAAGTGGCAAGCTGGCTTCATGCTAGAGGTGCTTAGACCTAAGTTTGACAAAGCTTGACGCCTATTTTAACTAGCTGCCTGACAAGTAATCAACCGCTAATAAGAAATCACGTAAAACAGAGCGGTGAGCAATGCAAAGGTCCGTCGCGACGTAAATTTGGCCGTGGCTTAGTTAGAACTAACTGCAGACTCTTGAAAAAAGCCAGACCTTTTTAACTTCTATGATTTTTTGTCTGACGTGCTGAAGAAAACGGTCGTTCTCGAGAGTAGAACGGACTTCGTTTTGATATATATCCGCGACCGAAAATGTTTTGGCCTGATCTTCTGAATGATCATGCCGTTCAAATAATGAGCGAGATGAAAAAAATTACGTCATCAAACAATCGACGCTGCATTTTACTTAAAAGATATTCTCTATGTAGCAAATGGCTTTGGCGAGTACGTAACTGTTAGAAGCTTACTATACAGTAAACGGTACGCAGTCCAACACCAAGTACCGACGGCGTATTGGTATACGCGTGCCCGCGATTACACCAGTGGCCAATGTTATCTGCGATTCTCAAGGTCAATCCCATCGGCGTTTCGGTGTATCATCCAGTGCATTACCACAGATAGCGAACCATGAATCATCTGACTGAACGAGCGCGATTTCCAATGAAGCAAGCGAATACTACAGGCGTTCTACGCGAGTAAACGAAGAGGGTTGAGTGGTCCCCTATGAAGGGAGCTACTAGAAAGACTTGGGGGCGCCGCCGCTACCCTGGGATGACAATCAAAACCAATGACCAATTCAGATTTGCAAGTTTCTCGTTTGAAACGAATCAGTGCGCTGGCTCATAGAATTCCTGCTGGGTTCATGCTTGAATTGAGCAGGAGATAAGCGAAGGCGGTAACCAGCGAACCAACTAACCAGAGTCGCTAATCTCAAATGCCCATTCAACCCTATGTTTTGGCGAGAATAATGTGCAATTTTCCCCATGTGGCGCATATTTTGCGAACCATTTACTCCCACATCGGGCGTGAAAGTGTTCATCCGACGATCGTATATAATTGTCCCGAGCAGGAGATTTCACATTGCGACACTTTACATTTTGGCGTACTATCGCGACCTGAAGGCTTTTATCGGGCTGTATTATTGTCGGGTGCATATAAATTAAAATATAGACTGAGAGCCGCTGGTTCAAGTCTCGCAATAAGACATATGTTCCTTAA